GCTCCTCCTGGCCGGCCTCCCCCTCCCGGCTCGGCTGCCTCCCATCGCTGCGGCAAGGGGAAGGCGGAGAAGGAAGGGAGCGAGGCCGCGTGTGGGTGCCGCATGTGTCCCGCCAGCCTCGGGCTTCTTTCTGGGGAAAAAAAAAAAAAGGGGGGGGGGAACAAAGGAAAAATCCGAGGGTGGAAGAACGCGGCCACAGAAATGCACTGGCTGCATCGGTGCGGTGCAGCGGCTGTTTATTGCAGAGCAGATACGGGGCTGACTCAGTCGTGATGCCGGTTGTTGGGGGTAAGGAGGGTTCCCCGGGAGCCGTCGGACACAGTGGAGAGGCCAGCGGGGAGCAGAGCAGCCGGATTTAAACACAGGACAAGGCGCATGTTTGTTTTCAGCTGTGATTTAACCGCTGAAACACAGGGCGGTATTTTCCTGTGCATCAGACGTTGTTGGAGCAGGACAGGCTCCTGGTGCTGCCCGTTGGAGCTGGGGACATGCCAAGCCGGTGGCACCCAGAGCGGGGATGGGAGCAAAGGTTCGAACACGAGTCCCCACAGCGAGTCCCTGGCAGGAGTGGGGATGGCCGCAGCCTGGCTGCTCCAGGCCTGACTGTTGGTCAGGAACGGAAGGAAACATAAATAATACAGAAACCACCCAAATGATAGCTACTGGGCTAGTTTATTTAAGTGCAGCGTGAGTGGCCTGTGGAGAATGTCAAGGCTGTTGTGGGAAGCCAGCAGAGCTGGAAACGCTCTCGGGCTGCCCTGGGATTTAAGGAGAGGGGCAGAACCACTTGCCGGCTTTTCTCTGCTCCAATCCAACCTGATCTGCCCTCGTACAACCTCCCTCCTGCCCATCAGTGCCACAGGGCCCTGGCACACCTGCTGGGGCAGGATTTGCCCCACACATGCTGCCTGCAGGTCCCAAATCTTGGTAATGGGCAGGTAAAAGCCCTGAGGCAGGAGGGCTGAGGGGATGCTGGAGGAGGGGAGGTTCGCCGGCACCTGTGGGATGTCCAGATTGTGTCGTGGAGGGGACACAGGTTTCAATACAGTCTCTCCCACTGCTGGTAAGTGTCGTCACAGCCCCCAGCAGTCCTTGCCCGTGCTGAGCCGTGCTCACAGCTGGCATCCAGGCTGGGCCATCATGGGGGCATAGATGTGGCAGTGTGGGGCTCAGCAAGGACAGGATACGGCCCGGCAGGGGCATGCTGACCCACACTGTGGGCATGCATCTCTGTGCTGCAGCAGGGCAGAGGGGAGCAAGATAGGGCAGCTGCTCCCCTGCCTGCGCAGCACAGCCTCGCAGAGCGGGCACCATGGGCAGGACTTTGCCCCATGCAGTGCCGTGGCCGTCGGATGGTGCCAGGGCAGCAGGAGCCACCCAGGAACGGCCCAGCCCGGCTGGACTGGCTGCTCTCAGCTCGGCCCAGCACTCGGGGATGTAACAGGGATGGGAAGCAGCCCCTGCTCTCAGCTCAGCCCCGCGCTGTTTGCTCAGCCTGCGTGGTGCTGGGCAGACAGGTTCAGCCTCCCCCTGCTCAGCACCAGGCCCCGGCCCGCAAAGGGCCTCGCAGGGCCGTGTGGGGCCGGCGACGCAGCCCTGGCTGCCGAGGCGGGGGGGTCGTGGGGAGGCCTGGCAGCGTTTGGGCCCTTTTGGTTAGGTTTCCTCCAACATCACTTGGATTTTCCGTGGAGTCCTGCGGGACGCTGGTCCCAGCCCCTCCCAGCCCCAGGGTAAGCGCTGGGACCCCATCCCCCGGGTCTGCTGATGCTCCGCTCGGGGAGGGGGTGTGTGTGTGGGAGGACCGGGACCCTTCTCCCCCCGCTGCCGGAGGTCTGCCCACGTCTCTGCCGCCGTCCCCTCGCACGGAGGCTCACGGGAGGGAGGACGGGCCCGAGCCGGAGGAGCGGGGGCTGCTGGGGGCGGCCCAGTCCCCTCCCCGCGTCGCTGCAGCCGCAGAGGGAGCGACCGTGCGGGCCGAGCTCCCGGCCCT